ACAGCATTGATTGCTCCACCTCGGTGAAGGATTGACTGCCAGCTTGCCCATCCTCTCTCTTTCCTCTCAGACCGAACGAATAGGTCTGCCATGTTACATCGCTGAACCCTAGAAAGAGTCCCTCCCTTGTGGTCRTCAACCCGAGCCCTTTTCCATTCCACCCGTTTTTTCTTTTTGCCTAAGCCACCCTTAACCCCTGAACCCTAGACTCTCGTTCATCTTAACTGCACCCCGAAAAGCCATTCCCATTCAAGGGTCGCCTCCCCCGTCGCTCTGGTACTCCCTGCTTTGGCCCTTTTGGTTCACTTGTTCGCCTGCGTTACCCATTTGAGTCCTGGTCACCACCGCTGAACTTTAAGAGTAGTGTAGCGAGACCAGTGCTGTCTCGGTTAGGAACTGAGTCCATTCTCTGAAACTGTGCTTTACTGTTCCAGATTTCTTCTTGAGATATGGAGTTGTGCCCTTCCTTCCCCCAACTAGGGTCATTTCTCAACTCAGCAAACCTCCCCCCTGCCCACCATGTTTTGATGAACTGTCACTAGCCTTCTTCTGGTTCTCTTCRTCATCTGTCCCTGTACTCTTGAACTTTTTGCCAGCTGCCTAGAAAATCTGCCCGTAACTGAACCTTAGTCTCCCCCCAGACTCTCTCCCGTGCGCCTGCAGCCTCCTTGAACGTCCATTTGACCCGAGGGAAGTCTTACTGGTGAACTCAAACCAAAACCTTTCTAGCAAGTCAAGACGAGGAGGATAGTTATCCTCTCTTTCCTTAAGCCCTACCCCATTTCCGATCCCTGATATCCTCATTGCTCCTCTCTCCATTTGAAGCGAAGTTGTACGCCTCTGGGCTCTGCCACTTTCCCCTGCCCCAAAGTATTCCGTTTAAATTTTTTGATTATTTCCTCCTCTTGACCAGGTTGTTGTCTTGCTTGCTGTCTCACCTTTTTCCACTGCGCGTAGAGATGTGTTTCCACTGCATTGAGGAGCAGCTCCCTAGCTTCCTCCCTATGAATTAGTGTTCCTTCCAAAGTGGCCTGACATCTCCTCTTCCAAATGGTCCACAGTCCATATTGTCTCAGCAGTTGAAAGATGTGACGCTGGTAGGGCTGCCATCCTTTGGGAACCCCTTCCCCCAAAAGCATGGTAATCTTTGATTCTGGGAATGCTATCGTCGCTACCTGTTTCCAAATCCCCCTAACTTGTTCCCACATTTCTACTGCCTCCTTACATTCTAGCAGGCAATGTACCAGTGTTTCCGGAAGCCCTTCTTGGCACACTCTGCAAAGCTCCGCTTCCTCGTTCCTCTGGTTATGACTTCTTCTTTCGTTGAGCCACACATTCACCGCTAGTGCCACATGTGCTATTAGCCATTGCATACTCCTGACCTGACCCATTCTAATAGATAGGATGCTAGACCAAGGTATATCAGGCATTAGGCTCCTGGGGACCCCTACTTTCTTCTCCCAGCGTTTGGTCAGGGAGTGACCTATGGATCTGGATCTGTTACTCAGTCTGTACCCCGTTTTTGTAGTATATTGGAGAATATTGATTCTTCTAGCTACTCTTGATTGCCCATCTCTGATGTTCCAGGCCCATTCTCCAGGGTCGACCTCTAGACTCTCGATAGGAACTGTTGAAAGATTTGTCCAGTTGGGAAGTGGTACTGCTGGGCTGTATTATGTCATATTTGTCAGCTACTAGCCATTCCTTCCTATCCTTGTCCGTGTCCCACACCCTGAAGACCTGTTTAGGTTCCGGATCATCTTCCCATGTGGCCCAATCTCCCTCTCGCCATTGCTTTCCCTCCCTCAACAAGAGTACCCAGGATGGATGTATGGAGTCTGTGACTCTTCTCAGGTTGTCGTGAAGGTTGTGGCACCCTTTCAATGCTCTCCTCAGCTCCCTCACYRWTTTCCACSGGTTGTTTTCATCATCCCAGATATGTTTGATCTGCCATATTCCGTGTTCCACCCATCTGCCCCATCTCGAGTCCCTGCTAGTTAGTGTGAGGGGTTYTCCGCCGTCATCCCTAATGCCAATATTGCAGAATATCGGTTGTCTTWATACCTCCTCCCTYGTAGTAGGTTCTCTGACCCTCGCTGGGAAGATTTCCTTCCACAGCTGTATTAGTTGTAGCCAATAAGAAGGGTTTCTAGCCCTCCCCCCTTGTGCATCCCTGTTCTCCTTCCTATAGCCCACTTTAGCCCAGTTGCTACACATGATCCAGAACAGACCCGTCATGTTGTTAGGAGTTTTATACTTGGCTATCTGCCTGACCCTATCCAATACTAGGGAGGTCCATGATAACTTGGGTTGTGAGATTAGCTTGACCACCCATTTTGTTTGCAAGGCCTTCAACTGAAGACTTGGGTCTAGGATGCCCAGGCCTCCTTGACCCTTGGCTCTAGTTACCGTTTTCCAAGCCACCTTGGTTATGAAGTGTTCCGAGTTATGCTTCGCTGTTCACAAATAGGCTGCGGCCTTTCTCCTAAGATGGGTCGACGTGGCCTTGGGGGGGGGTCCAAATTGTCCCCACGTACCACATCATGGAAAGGAGTGATGCGTTCAGGATCAGTGCTCTTCCGTATATTGAGGTGTACACTGTCGACCAAGCCCCAAACTTTGCTAACATCTTGGCCATTATATCTGTCGCCATAGACTGGTGAGTCCCCTCTTCTGTTATCTTGATCCCTAGGTATCGGAGCGGTTGTTGTGGTGACAACCATTGAAGCCCCTCCGGACTAGTGACCGGTGCTTGATTCTCTTGGTCAAGTTCTGCCATCCACCAACCCACTGTTTTGTGCMWATTAATTTTCATTTMTGAGGCCAGCTGAAAGGCTTCCATAGCTCTTGTTAGCGCTTGGAARGRRGRRKYCSKTKSCCYKRWTWA